CTCGCAATTGCGAGTTTATATCTCACAATTCTGTGAAAAAAAGTCAGAATTGTGAGATAAAAAGTCGCAATTACCTTTTTTTTTAAAAATTCAGTGGCGGAAACAGGCTTCCATACCTTATGCTATGGAGGCTCTCTATTTTCTTTTTGATTCCCCAGTGTTTGCTAAACGTTCTGTAATTTATTATTCATTATATAGCCTAATACAGCGTGTAGGCCATGCCTCATCTTATTCGTTTTTGTTAATAACGTTTTGTAAGCTAGTTTGTCATTGAATACTGTTTTATTGTTGCTGTGCATTTTAATTAAAAATAATGAATCCATCTTTTTTTTTTTGTCTTAAAACGTGAAAGGTGTATAGATGTAAGCAAAACAGACAATTATATTTTATTGTAAAACCTGACAAGATCGTGAAATCGAAAGTGAAAGAATCCAAAGCCCGGCTACAAATCAGTTCAGTTTAAAAAAATAATCATTCTAACTGCCTTGTGAACTGAATCAAATGATTCATTTCTAAATATCTGACTCAAAATTGAAAAATCAAGACATTGGTAACTTTTATATCAACCTCTCAAGAAGAATATAGGGCAGATGTCACGATTTTTAGAAAATACCTTGTGCAAAATTCATATGGGTGCTTGAATTGAGTTCTCAAAGAATCACATTTTCTGCACCATAAATATAGGTTTATATTAAATTGGAAGTAAGTAAATGATGACTTTCATTTTGGGTGAACTGCTCTTTCAACACGCAAACAATTACCAATTCCCCTTTTAAAAATGAACCTGAAGACCAAAAAGGAAAGTCCTTTGAGAAGTTATTAAGTTGTGATGAAAGAATATAAAGACAATTGTTTTTCTGTAGTGTAACATGCACAGATTAATCTTTCACAATATGAACAAGAATGTGTATTGTGAAAGTAAACGGGGTGAATTTTGATTCCACATGGATTTTAAGCATCATAACTTTGGTATAGCAGCAATGAAGCCAGGATTTAGTCACAAAATCCTCTATGCTGAGAGCCGATGTCTTACCTTGTGCACACTCTTTGGGTTCTCCAGCCATGCGTAGTACATCTCTTCCACATAGTTGGAGCTCGTCCCATTGAGAAAAGGCTCAGCGGCGACAGGGGCCGCATAGCACCTAAAGGGCTGAAACGTCCTTAGGGCCCCGGGTGTCACCGCTGTCCTCTGTTGTGAGAAACTTGGAGCATTCTGAGAGGCTGTGAGCGGCCGTAGCCGTGCAGCGCAAGTCCTTAAGCGATGCATCGCAGTCTTTAAACCAGCTCCACCGCCTCTCCAAACCAACCACGAGAACTAAAGCTCCACGCAGCACTGAATCCAACAGATCCTGGATGTGTTCCTTTAATAAAGGTGCTTGTCCTCCTACTCCTCCGCTCAAGGTCTATTTCAGTTTGTCTCCCAGCAAACTGAAAGTAACACCAGACGAAGCATGTCAATAAATAAGATTAATTAAATTGTGGCAACAGTAAATGTTTAGGAATGAATAGCATGCTTTTGTGCCTGTCCTACAGGTCTGTTTTGATCAGAAGTCACGCAAAGAATTCTTCCCAAGCCTGAGATAGTTGCACTTGTGTGCTGTCCTTTCATTTATGAAGACTGATTATATGTGTGGAACAACATTTTGAAACCCTGAAACACTCTAAATGACATCCATATCTCAAAACAGCCATCATTTCTGCAATAAGAAGTTCAAACACTGTATAAACAAGACACTTGTACTCTGCTTGCATCAGGGATGCTGAACCTGTAATGTGTGTACAGTAAATCAATGGATACCAAAACCTTGTCGAGCATGATACACGACATTAAACTTTTCAACAGTGTGTGGAAAATCATCAGAAATAATTACATAAATGTTTCTTATAGTAAAGAATTTCTGATGTCAACTTTTCATGACTATAGGTGCATAGAAAAAGGCTTTTCTTAACGAATAAGATTTTTAAGAGGTAAAAAAGAAATAAACAAATAGCAAAAAAGTCACTAATAAGTTAAAATAAGAGTTTAAAATCTTGGCAGCTGTGAAGGTCTCATGAGTAACGTAACGGACCACCCCGGCTAGCTTCAGCTAACACGAGCTAATATCAAAACTCTCTATTAAACCATCAAACATGCGTTTAAACTGCCCATGCCTCAGGGGAAGATAATAAAATGGCAAATTATACCGCTTTAAAAATAAATACAGCATTAACTGTGTCTAATGACAGAGTTTTCTCCTCAGTACCGGCAAGCTTGCTGACAGATGCAGAACTGACTCGCTAACGCCTCACTGACAGAATCATTCAAATCAAAAGCGATTCAGATACTTACTCTCAGAGCAGGAGATCCTGTACAGTGCAGTTTAATGTCATAAAACACAAAAATGAAAGGGAAAGAGTGAGCGGGACGGGTCTCGTGATCAGATCAACGAGTCGCTCGTTTCTAGGCAGCGCGAGCACAGGCTCGGCGTCACGAGCTCGCATGATGTCAGCGGCACGGCGCGAGCTTTTTTTCTGCACACTTTGTGTAAAGATCAGTACATTACGCAAATATTTATCGTTACTAGGAGAATACCATATATATTAAAGAAGTAGTTGGTTCTTAGCAAACCAAATTATATTTGATAAATAACTTGATTATTAATTACCAATGTACATAATTAAGATAAGAACAATTTTACATATTTACTGTAGGCTACCGTGTAACCTTCGGAAAGGGTTTTGTGCATCTTATACTGCAATTTTGTTTCCTAAAAGAAACACAAATATAGATAAATTAAAGTTTAATATTTCAGTTTCTGGAAGACTTCAGGAAGAATCATGGATCAGGACAGGTTTTTTGACCTTTAAACTCTTGGAAAGATCTATTTTGTCCTTATATTTAGTATTTTATATGCCTAAGTTTGCGTACGTTTATAAACTAATATAACAACACATGCAATCAAAAACCTGTTTATTAAGACGTTTTGTATGCACAAGACTGCATGCTTTAACAAGTATAACCATAACTTAAAGGGATAGTTCACCCAAAAATGAAAATTCTGTCATCATTTACTCACCCTCATGTCGTTACAAATCTGTATGAGTCGCAAAAAAGAAGATATTTTGAAGATTGCTGGTTATCAAACAGTTGGTGGTTGCCATTGACTTCCATAGTAGGAAAAAATTTTACTATGTAAGTCAATGGCAACCACCAACTGTAACAATCTTCAAAATATCTTCTTTTGTGTTCAACATAAGAAAGAAACTCATACAGGTTTGGAACGACAAGAGGGTGAGTAAATGATGACAGAATTTTCATTTTTGGGTGAACTATCCCTTTAATGATGAGCATGTAAACAGCCATTGTTGATTCATCTGGCCAGAGTACTGGACAACCGGTGCAAACAACTGTCTGTAAGATATTTACACCAGTTTCCACTGAACACAAACCGTTTTTAGTGACTCAGCACTCAAAAGTACACACAGTTGTGAAATAAATTCACATGCTGTTTTCTCATATCTTATCAGCTTTCAGAGGCAGCTGGTCATTCAGATAAAGCCTCGTAGGTTTATTAGCAAGATCACTCTGTCAGCAGAACAGCATTTAGTTCAGTATACAGTAGATATAAAAACCACCACATGGGTTTTGACAGTCTTTTTTATTGATAATACTGATAACTTCTTAATACATTTCCTATAGCACACATAGAGAGAAAAAGAGGGAGAGCACATTGGAAGAACAGATATGAATATTAATGAGAAGAATCAGGAGAAATCCACATCATCCCGTTGCAGGATTTGAGATTATATACACACAAAAAAAAAACTCTGCAAAATTGGAAGGCTGATCTTCGGAGAAATGAGACGCCGTTAGACTTAAGCAAAAGATTTCAAAAGACATTGCAAATGTGAATACTACAAATAGTAATTGTCTTGATGTTGTAAGAGCAGCAATGCGTCACCACTAGAGAAACACAACACTGATTCACTCTTTCACATTATGTGTAACCCACTCAAACACACACCAGCTTCCCATTAGTGGCCTGATTAGATTAGATCACTCATCACTTCAACCTACAGGCCATTGTGTTTGGAGAAGAACTCACTTGATAACAGATTAAACACTATCAGGAGAAATCCACATCATCCCATTGCAGGATTTGAGATTATATACACACAAAAAAAAAACTCTGCAAAGTTGGAAGGCTGATCTTCGGAGAAATGAGACGCCGTTAGACTTAAGCAAAAGATTTCAAAAGACATTGGGAGCAAATGTGAATACTACAAATAGTAATTGTCTTGATGTTGTAAGAGCAGCAATGCGTCACCACTAGAGAAACACAACACTGATTCACTCTTTCACATTATGTGTAACCCACTCAAACACACACCAGCTTCCCATTAGTGGCCTGATTAGATTAGATCACTCATCACTTCAACCTACAGGCCATTGTGTTTGGAGAAGAACTCACTTGATAACAGATTAAACACTCATTTGGTGGTTATTCAGTGTATATACATTTAGGTTTCATTAACGATTTGTTAGTGCATCAAGATCGTGTTTCTGTTTTTAAGCAGAAAAGTGAGTGGATTCTTGGAGATCTTGTCACGTTACGCATTTTTTCTAACTAGAACGCTGTGGTAAAGAGCGGAATCTAAAGGATTAGACAGCATTTGAGCGAAGCACAAGGAAGGTCGTTGATTAAAATGGCATTGAACACAGACATAATTCAAGGTCCCTTTTGTAGACTGGCAGCCAAAGCAAGATCCATTCCGTAATAAAAACACATGCATAACGTGACCTAGTGTGACAACGTGCGTCACCACTAGAGAAACACAACACTGATTCACTCTTTCACATTATGTGTAACCCACTCAAACACACACCAGCTTCCCATTAGTGGCCTGATTAGATTAGATCACTCATCACTTCAACCTACAGGCCATTGTGTTTGGAGAAGAACTCACTTGATAACAGATTAAACACTAATTTGGTGGTTATTCAGTGTATATACATTTAGGTTTCATTAACGATTTGTTAGTGCATCAAGATCGTGTTTCTGTTTTTAAGCAGAAAAGTGAGTGAATTCTTGGAGATCTTGTCACGTTACGCATTTTTTCTAACTAGAACGCTGTGGTAAAGAGCGGAATCTAAAGGATTAGACAGCATTTGAGCGAAGCACAAGGAAGGTCGTTGATTAAAATGGCATTGAACACAGACATAATTCAAGGTCCCTTTTGTAGACTGGCAGCCAAAGCAAGATCCATTCCGTAATAAAAACACATGCATAACGTGACCTAGTGTGACAACGCTGCGACTGACCCAAGCTAATAACCACATTATTTCACATTTTCTATGGGTGCAACCAACACTGCTCAAACAACAACAAATGCCTTTACAAAAGCATGCCATACAATCAGAATAGTTGTTTTACCATGATAGTCATCGTCATCATCATCATTTTTAGACAAAAATAGTTATGTGCACTTACAAAGCTCAGAAAATAGATAGAATCACCAGCATTCAGTATAAAACAAACAGAATGAAACAAAAAGTCACTAAAATGTATTACTGTGAAGTTGAAGTTCATGCAAATAGTTTCCACTTATAAGATAAGTTAACACTATGGTAGTTTTTACAAGGTATTTGTTGAATTTCAATTATTGTTTGCAATACTAAACACACATATAAGAAAGAAATAACAACACCGGTTCATCGACATGCGGATTGCTGTTTGCGGCGGATGTTGTATTTGTCACCATTTACATAGAGTTTGAAACTCTCATTAAAGTGAACATAAAAGTCACATTTCAGAGTAAAATTCAAGGAATAGTTCAAAATGGTCTCTCCCTCAGGCCGTACAAGATGTAGATGAGTTTGTTTGTTCATGGGAACAGATTTGGAGAAATGTAGCATTACGTCACTTGCTCACCAATGGATGCTCTGCAGTGAATGGGTGCCGTCAGAATGAGAGTCCAAACAGCTGATAAAAACATCACAATAATCCACACCACTCCAGTACATCAATTAACATTTTAATTTATACATTTTTTAACTTTAATCTATTGCTTCTGGCTAAAATACAAGCCCATAATGCATAACAACACTTCCTCCAGTGAGTGAGACTATCCTCTTGTTGTCCTCTCACATCAAAATCCACCGACATATTTGTTTAGAATGGTTTTCACTTGTAAATGGTACTTGATTTGTGCATATTTCACTCCTGATTCAGACGAAATGACTTTTTCACTGGAGAAAACAATATTATGGATTGCTGAAAACAAGGGTAGAAGTTAAAAACGTCTTGATGGATTTGTTAGGGGGACCATACGTGCCATTTTCCCAGGACGTATGGCCAGGATTTCTATATTGCCTAAAATATCTAGGTTTTGGCTTTGTTTGCGTGTGCAGACCGATCGGTGTATGACATCAAAATACCATACAGACGGTTCCTTATGCTTTAAAAATGCTCTCGAGGTATTTTGATGGCATACACTGATCGGTCTGCACACGCAAACAAAGCCAAAACCTAGATATTTTAGGCAATATAGAAATCCTGGCCATTGGAAAATGGCACGTATGGTCACCCTAGATTTGTTAACTGATGGACTGGAGTGATGGATTACTTGTGATGTTTTTATCAGCTGTTTGGACTCTCATTCTGACGGCACCCATTCACTGCAGAGCATCCATTGCTGAGCAAGTGATGTGATGCTAAATTTCATCTTCAACTCTGTTCTGATGAATGTATAACTCGTCTACATCTTGGATGGCCTGAGGGTGAGTTACGTTTTCAGCAAAGCTTTATTTTTGGGTTAACTACTCCTTTAAAATCAACATAAAGCACACTGAGCAGCCTCAACAAAGGTCATGTGACTTCAGGTAGCAGCCCACATTCAGTAAGAGAGAAATCTTTTGACAAGACATCAAAAACGAACAGTACCAGTTGTCAGGAAGCCCCCTAGTCAATCCACATAAGACTATCTTCCAGTTCTGCAAGACTGAAAGACAACACTTATAAAAACATCCTTACAATCCGCTGGAAATTCTCGCTCTATGCGTTATGGCTTTCAACACTTGAATATAGTGACGATGCTTTCACATTCAGGATATCAGTGCCATTGTATTGTAAAACCACACACACGTACACGCACACAC